CCTTAACCATTTTTAAATATATGATTACATTTAGTGTATGATTCAGTGGCATTAATTATATTCACACTGTTGTGCAACCAACAGCACCTATTTCCAAATCTGTTCTATAACCCCAAACAGAAACTCAGAAACCATTAAGCTTTCTCCCCCACCCCCCACCCTTGTTAACCTCTAATCTGCTGTCTGTACGAATTTCCCTATTTTTTCTAGATATTTTGTATAAGTGGAATCATATGATATCTGTACTTTTGTGACTGGCTTGTTTCCCTTAGCATAATGTTTTCAAGGTTCATCCATGTTGTAGCATATATCAGTACTTCATTCCTTTTTATGGCTGAATAATATATATTGAATATAAATACCGCACTTTGCTAATCTGTTCATCTGTTGGTGGACACTTGGGTTGTTGTCACATTTTGGCTATTGCAAATAATGTTTCAGTGAACATTTGTGTACAAATTACCTGTGTGAGCCCCTGTTTTCAGTTCTTTTGGGTATATACCTAGGGGTGGAATTGCTGGGTCATACGGTAATTCTATGTTTAGCTTTTTGAGGAAGTGCCAAATTGTTTTCCACAGTAGCTGCACCATTTCACATGTCCACTAACAATATACAAGATTCCAGGTCCTCCATATCCTCTTTCTTTTCACTTTCTTAGAAAAATAAAATAGTATGAAATTATAACCATCCTGGTATCTCATTCACTTATAGTTTCCGGTGTGAAATGGTATCTTATTGCGGTTTTGATTTGCCTTTTCCTAATGACTAAAGCTGTTGGCCCACTTTTTATGTGCTTATTGGCCCTTTGTGTATCTTCTCTGGAGAAATACCTATTTGAGTTCTTTGTCATTTTTAAATTGGGTTGTCTTTTCGTTCTTCAGAAATTCTGAATCTTAAGTCCTTATCAGATATATGATTTGCAAATATTTTCTCCCATTCTTTAGGTTGTCTTTTCAGTTTCTCGATAATGTCCTTTGATGCATAGACATTTTTAATTTATGAAATCCAATTTATGTATTTTTTTCTTCTGCTGATGCTTTTGATGTGTACCTAAGAATCCATTGCCAAATTAAGGTAATGAAGATTTATTCCAATGTTTTTTTTTTCTAAGAGTTTTATGGTTCGAGCTCTTATATTTAGGTTATTGATTCATTTTGAGTTAATTTTTGTATATGGCATGAGGTAGGTGTCCAACCTCATTTTTTTCATGTGGAAATCCAGTCATCCCAGCACCAATGTCTGAGGAGACTGTTCTTCCCCCATTGAACAGACTTGGAACCCTGGTCAAAAATCAACTGAGCAGATGTATGTTTGTTTCTGGACTCTCAATTTTATTCTTTTGGCTTATATGTCTAACCTTATGCCAGTACCACACTGTTTTGAATCCTGTGGCTTTGTAGTAAGTTTTGAAATTGGGAAATCTAGGTCCTCTGACTTTGTTATTTTTCAAGATTGTTTTTGGCTGATTAGGGCCCTTTGAAATTCCATATGAATTTGAGGATTGGCTTTTCCGTTTCTGTAAAAAAAGGCTGTTGGAATTTTGATAGAGGGTGTTGAATCTATAAATCACTTTATATAGTCTGTTATAAGACTTAAAAACAAAAAAGAATGCTGCATTTGATAGCATTGATTGTCTATTTCAGCGGCACCAAGGAACAGAATATAATCACATTTGGATCAGGAAGTAGTCACATGTTTTTAGAACAGTTCTTACCTATTTCTGATGTTTTTAAAACCTTCAGGGATTATAGGTCTATATTTAAGTTACTCAAGTTTTTCTTGAATAGTATCATTTCTAAGTTTTCTTCAATCATTGTTTTAGAAACTTAGATGACACTGATTTTCAGCTGTTGGTAATAGGAATTAATGAAATGTTATTTTAATTTGTGTCTCTGGCCTTTCAGAAAGCCCTTTGGATTCCCTTAATTTTTTATGGGAAACTTTTCAGTTCTGTTTTTCCCCTTGGAAACTCTTCTAGGGCAATACCCCACCATAGACTTATAGGTTTTCTATAGAATTATGTATAATAATTCTTGTTTTTAATTCCTGTATCTATCATTTCAAGGTTTGCCTTTATCATTTATTAAGTAGCTTACTAACTAATGCCTTCAGAGACTTCTAGTTTTCATTTCTGACTTTTAACAGAAAGATGAGAACCTATTTAATATAATAGTAAATGCTGTATGCATTTGATCACTTTTTAAATATAGAATGTTTCATTGTGCGTATTGGATCCTCTACTGCTTTCCTGCACTCACATACAACTTTATAGAATGTTTTGTACTTCATTCTTACTGATTTGCTTTTGAGGTTTACTACCTAAAAGTGTGTCATTTGCAAACCTGAAGATTTTGCTCCATTTCTTTCTGCTAAGTAATCTAAAATGTTTCAGAAAATTGTTCTTAATATCATCTGCAGGGGACTTTATCTCCTATACATCTTCATCTGGTTGCCTTTTTTTTTAAATCTCTGTGCCTATTTTCTAGAACTAAATTTTTCAAACAGTTTGTATAGAACTTGGTCAAGGATTTTTGAAATCCTAATCATTATACTCACTTTTGTTTATGTATTTATTATTTCAAAGAATAAGTAGAAGCAAAAGTACTTTGTGGACTCAAGGGATTTCTAGCTGATAAGTTTTGTTGCTTTGTCTGTTTCTTTCTACCTTAAAGTTTCTGGTTTGGAAGCTAAAGGTAAGTCATCTCTGCAAGAGCCCAGAGGCCTTGTCATTGATCAGGCCTAGTGTGTGCCCTCCTGACCCATGCTTCGGCTCCTCTGAGCTGCTCTTTGCTTCTGGGTTCCTGGTTATGTTTGGAAAAATAGATTTTCAGATAAAGGAAATAATATATTCTGCCTTGCTAACGTGCATTGTGTGTGTATTTGGTTTTTTCCATTCAGTGTATTCAAGAAATGAATCTGATGGAGGGTCTGCAGTTTCTTCTGTTTACATCTTTGTGATAGTCTGTAGAACTGAGTCTTTTTGTGGCTGCAAAGCGTTTCATCAGGTTCTGGTGCAGCTTGCTTCCTGTAAAACTCTCCAGGAAGTATTTTTTTATAGCACATTTTGGGGAATGTAAACTTTCCATCCCCAAAGTAATAGTGTTAGTGCAACTTGAAATGTGACTTCCTAGCCATAAAATTCTGTTGAATGAACGACTAATTGGTAAGAGGATTTACAGCCTAAATTCTGAAGTCGGGAGTTGGTACAAGAATTAGACATGATATTAATAACAACCATATAGTTTATGTGAATATTAACAACTTTTGTTGCTAAAATTTGTAAACAACTCAATTCTAGCGTATGTTTATTTTTTAATTAAGTGTTGGATGAACATTGCATTATAAACATTTATGATTTTTGACTATATTACATTTAAAAACAGATAACCATTTTATTATTATGTTTATAAATTTGTCTGGGTCTATAACCTGTCACATATTTTACTAACACATGTAGATTATTTCTTAATTTGTAGTGTATATGTATAAACTTTATTATAAAAAATGAAATTGCAGCTAGGTAGATTCAGAAACCAACAAATTTTTATGTGCATTGAAGCATTGTGAAATTTTAGTTGTATTTAATTGTAAACTATAAGAAATACTTAACAATTCAGATCATTTTAATTGCACAAGAAGTAATGTGACCCAGGAGGTAGATTTATTATGTTTTTCTTGACGAAATATTTTTCACTTTAAAAAAGCGCTGTGATATGTATGTTTGTATGAGTATATATGTATCAATGTATACATGAATATTTTTAAAATAATTTTTCATCTACATCAATTCTGATTCTGATTTTGATTTTTATAGAAACAATTTTTAAGCAGGAAAGAACTTAAGTGATAGTATAGTCTAACCTGATGATCTTATAAATGAATAAAGTTTAGCATATGAAGTAGTTAGCTAGAGATCACAAATGGTAGAATAAGAATGGTGGTTTTCCTGTTTTCTTCCTCTTACGTGACTTTTTTCATCATAGTTTGTCTCCCAATACATGAAACATTGTGTACCACCCTGATATAAAGAGGATTATTAAAGCAACAAGGATTTCCATAGGAGTCACTCAAAATACCTAATTAGGGAAAAATTGCTCTATGAAATAATTCTTTGGAAGAATTTTTTCTCATTTGTTCCTTAAAGTTAAGTTTATTAAGTGTGGTTACTAAAAATGTTAATGTTAACTGGAGGGAATGGACTATTTTTGGAATAATGAATGAGCGAGGGATAGGCATTACACTAATAGAGCAAGTTGGGATTACCTAGCTTTACCAGATTTCTCTGATCTTGATTCTAGTTTGTTGCATATGCCTATGTCAGAAAGAATAAATCTTCTCCAGTATTAAGGTGAAAGAGAGTTCACCACAGATGGGGCAAAGGTGCTATGTCTGAGTTCACTAGTGCAAAGTTTTCAGGAGGGCTGGGCTTTTTTAGTATGCATGTCCCCTGAAATCACCTTGTAGGTTAAAGAAAACAGTCTTATATTGAGTTATCTTTTCCTTAAACAATTTAGAATAAGTTGATTTGAAAATTTAGAAAAATAAATACACTTTTTAAGTGAAAGAAATGTTTAACCTAAGCAAGTTATGAAGAGAATTATATGCATTTTAAACTTTTTTGGGACATTTCTATAGTTTGCCATTGAGACATTTTCCGTTCCTATTGGAATATTGTAAAACTTTACTCGAGGATGAGTTATGACAATTGAACACAAAACACATTCGAACTCATTCTCCTTTACTTACATGATTAATTTAAAAACATTATATCAAAGTTCTCCAGAAAAATATGTGACTGAAACTTAAGAATTTGAATGTTTCCTTGTCATTCTGTGTAAATAATTATTAAGGATAGTTCACTTTCTCCACTGTGTACTTCTTGTAATTGTTTTTATTTTTAATTTTTATTTAGCTTGAGTGTTGGTTTAAATTCTCAATTCATATTTCTTAAATCTCAGGGATTATCCACATTGATTTTTCTTTTTTTCTCCCCTTTCTAGTTTTGGCAAACGTTCTGCAGGAAGCTTTAGGCGTGGCTGTGAATGCATTGTTTTAGAGCCTTCTGAAATGATTGTGGTAAGGTTATTTGTGAAGACTTCCCCCCCACCTAAAAAACTGTATGAAATAAAGGCATTTTTACAAACTACTTATAATAGTACATTATATTTTTATAACATTAGATATGTTTATTTCCTAATTATTATGAATTTGAGTTCATAATCATAATATTCACTTAAAGGATTTAATTAAATATAAAATGTAGAAATTTTAAAAGGGGCAAGTACCCAAATGTTTGGTATTTGAACTTTGTGATTCAATCTATAATAATATTTAATTGAAATTTAAGGAAAATCTTTGAATTGCAGGATTTTAACTCTCGAAGTATTGATTGTAATGAGTTAATTTAAATGAAATCACAATTATAGTACTCAGGGAACAATTAACATAAGAAAATCATTTGAATTCGTTCAAGTAATTGAAAGAAAATTAGGGGACTACTATGGTGTTTAAACTCTAACATCTTTATCTCTCTTTTTAACTGAATTGTGTGATTTAAAAAATCTACTAGGCCAGGTGCGGTGGCTCACGCCTGTAATCCTAGCACTCTGGGAGGCCGAGGCGGGTGGATCGCTCAAGGTCAGGAGTTCGAGACCAGCCTGAGCAAGAGCGAGACCCCGTCACTACTAACAAATAGAAAGAAATGATCTGGACAACTAAAAATATATATATAGAGAGAAAAAATTAGCCAGGCATGGTGGTGCATGCCTGTAGTCCCAGCTACTCGGGAGGCTGAGGCAGGAGGATCGCTTGAGCCCAGGAGTTTGAGGTTGCCGTGAGCTAGACGCCACGGCACTCACTCTAGCCAGGGCAACAAAGCGAGACTCCGTCTCAAAAAAAAAAAAAAAAAATTTTACTAAGAGATTATGCATAAAATACAGTATTAAAATAGATATTAGCAACATAATTATTTTCCTTGAAGTTTAATTAAAAAAAGCTTTTTTTGTGATGAAAACTCTGTCCAGTTCTGCCACTGAAGGCAGAGAGATGAAAGCTTTTAGTGCTGAGGAAGGAAAAAGAAAAACTGTCATAATTCTTCCTTGCTGTATACAAATGCTTTTAAGATAGGCTAACATACACTCTTTTTAACAAATTGGTAATAAAAATGAGATGAGGTGGGAGGAGAGGCTCCCAGCCTAGGAATTCAGTTGATATTCTTTTTGTCCCCCGCCGGCATCCTATCTGGAAAGGAAAACCTTGTGAAATAAGTGAGGGCTGAATAGAGATGAGGATGGAAGCTGTTATTCATATTTAATAAAGTACTTGGTAGACAACTCTAGGTCTATTTTAAGAAAAGATTTAGGGTTTTTCCCTATGATGTAGTACAGGAATCCCATTAGAAATGAGGACTTCCTTGTCAAAGCTAGTGAACTTTTTGTAAAATTCACTAAAACTTTTGGTAAAATTTTACAGAATGTACTCATACAAAGTTGGGATGGTTATGAGTAAAGATTTAGGATAGGGAAGAATGTAGGCAGATACATAGGAATTTCCAACAGTAGGTTTGTAAAGAATTCTAGATATTTCCTTGAGATTTTGTCCTCTGTTAATGCTATTTTTGGATTTCTCTGAAGGATTTGAGTATTTTATACTTGCAAATATTACACAAACTACTAGGTTTGCTGGTGTGAGAACAGTATTGGAATCTAAACATGCTTCTATTGTGAGCACTCACATGAGGAATAACCTAATGTAACTTTTGTTCTCTGTTAATCCATTCATTAGAGTTTTTAAAATGTCTTAAATGAGGAATTATTTTTTAAACAACTAAAAAGAAACTGAAGCCACGGAATGAAAGTAGGAAGAGAAACTCTTAGATAATCTACAAAAGCTGTTTTGCTAGCAGTCCTGTTTCAGTCATTTGGGATTAATAGGTTTTTTTATAGATTTATTCATATACATTAGATTTTTTTTTTTTTTGCATTTTAGTTAAGACAGTGCGGCATTTACTTTCATAATGCGTCGCAGTGTATCCTGTGAGATCTTCAGTAATAATTCAGCACAAAGACTACTTAAAATATCCTTTCCTTTGAAATGGCAGGAAATTCAAGAGTTACCCATATTGTCCTAAGTGGAACCGAAAATGCCTTTTCATAAAAGAAAAGTTACTCAAAACCAATTAGTTCCAAAGAAGTTCAGACACACTTAAAGTTGTTTACAAATGTCTTTGCAAAATGAATGAATCTGGAGTATCTGTAAGTTTCTTTCTACATCTGATATTAATATGGAATGTTATGTTTGGAGAAATGATGTTTTTTTGGGGGGTTTTATTTCAGGTGGACTATATGGATGAAAATGAAGAATATTTTCAGCGTCAAGCTTCCCATAGACAGTCTCGAAGGAGATTTAGAAAAATCAACCAGAAAGGTGAAAGACAAACAATTATTGACACTGTGGATCCTTACCCTGTGGGCAAACCACCTTTGCCTAGGGGCTATCATACGGTAAGTTACACAAGTGTAATATTTTTATTTATCTTTGGGTTTTGTTGGGAGTTTTGTGAAAAGACATTTCAATTTTCAATTTTTGATGAATGATTCTTTTCTATGATATACTTATTATCCAAACAGCAGATTTTGCTGGAAATACACATGATATGAGTAGTTTTTAAAAGGCATTGAAATAAGATGTCAACAGATATTATTTAGCTCTTTCATTTCTTAAAATATTCTCTGAAGATCAGCTTTGGATAAGCATGTACAATTGTAATTGTAATATTTTAAGTTATTTGACCTTAATCTAAAATTTTAGCTGCTTCCTCTGTTCTTCCCCTACCCAAATGATTGGTATCATACCTGTTTTTTATTTAAAAAGGGGATATATAAAAATTACATATCATTTTCATAGCTTTTTATATCATTGTGAGACTGTTATCTGAGATTTTTTTTAATGCAATAAGAAAAGAATAATTCAAGATGATGCTTTTAAAAATCTGAATGTGAAGGTGTCCTGAAATATTTCTAATAGGTTGAAAAATCTCTGAAATGCCGTAACCCAGTTGTCGTTTATTTTATAAATATTTGATGAATAAAATGTTTTTATGTTTTAGGAAACCAAGACACAGATAATGAGTGCTTGTGTAAGACCTCAATAACGTCACTTTAGAGCCTTATTTTTCTTATTTCTTTGTTTTCTTAAAAACAAAGTATCTTGAATTCTTGGATATATCTCATAATAAGGTGAAAGATAGTTTATCTATGCATATAATACCATTAAAGAAGTGGTTATTATATGTAAAATTTTAAAATAAAAGTATGAAAAAGTAAAAATAGGTAATTGACAATTATTTTACGTTCCTCAGTTTTTCTTACCTTTTTCTTTCTGCAAATAAGTCTAAATGCAAAATGCCTGGGAAAATGTATATAGACGTAAAATTATTCAAGTTTCAGTAACTTTCAGTGATATGATATATTTTATACCCACACTTCATGTATTCTATTTCTCAGAGAGCTCTTTGTATTTAAATATTTAATGTGGTTTTGACGACTAGTGACTTGCCTACTCCTCTTGCTACCCATGTGCTATTTAAGTTTAACATGAATTTCATACTTGAATCATTTCATTCAGCTCATTTGGAAAGGGTGTTTTTTGCTCATCACAAAGGCAGTTTTGTTTGTCTATTGGAGAGACTTGGTATTTGGAGAAAGAAAAAAAAAAAGCCCATGAAAGGTTTTTTTGTTACCATTGTCCATAAAAGAAGGTAATATTTTTAGTGTTAGTGTAGCATCATGGAAGAAGGAACTATGTATTAAAATAGTTGTACATATTAGAAGTACAATATAGATTTTAATATTTTAGACTAGTACTAATATTGTTAATATCTTTGTGCTTTAAAATGGTTTTTCCAAATTAGTTTCCAAACTAAGATAGTGGGAGTGTAGATTACTTAAAATGTAGTGTTAAAGTTGATTGTTTTGATTTTTAGTCACATTTGTCGCACGTAAGTTGGGTGGACCATTTCATAACTATTTCTCTCTCCCCACCCCAACTTTCCTCCATTTATGGAATGCATCCTTCGTTTTCCTTATGTAACTCCCCTTTCTTGCTCTGTTTTAAAAAATGTGTAGTTTTTTTTATTATTACAAGTTTTTTTTTTTAGTGGTTTTTAAGAATGTCTTACCTGGTCAATGTGTACTTGGAGGGAATATTCAATACTAGGATGAGAAATTTAACTTGATTACTAATGGATCATTTATTAGTTTACTATTAATATTATGTGACATTGGTATTGATTTTACTAAATGAATTAAGATTGGCAACAACATGATCATAATTAAAAGGATCCTTTTTGGGGGTGCAAATTGCATTTTAGTTATGCTACTTATTTATTATATTATTATTTTACCTAGATACATAATTTTAATGTAGGAGAACAGCAAAATTTTGTTTTGTATATATGATACCACATGGTAAAAAGAATGAAATAAGAATTATTCTTCATTAGCTCTAAGTTATGTTTACTTATTCTTAACAGAAATATTTCTCTGAAAGAAATTGGCTAATAAGGTGGGACTGAAGGTGAAAAGTTTATTTAAAAGAAGTGCATGATCATACTTCACAGGTGATTTAAAATGATTGCAAGTGCATTTCAAGTGCATGGCTAAAGATCATAGAGAACGTTATACAGATAGCCAATTCTATATGGTCATTCTTAACCTAATTTTAACATTATCTTCATTTTGGCAGATGTAATATAGCATGTCTGATAATGTTCATCTTTTCCTTTCCTCCTTTATGGCACTCATTTCATTTTGGCTCAAAGGAATGCACTAAATCTCAGGTATTGTAATTCGTGTGTGGTCTCCTAACACTAACCTAAATTTATGTGTGTATTTGCATTGTAACTAATGAGTTTATAATATTGATGTGTTTTGCTTGCTCATGTTCTTTTGTATTTTGCCCTGACTTAGTAAAATCTCTTAAAAGTTTGAAACTATCAATGGTTTAGGCGGTAGCATAGGCACTTTAATTGTACAGACCTAAGGCTAGATTGTCCATCTTTGAAGAAAAAATACAAGTGCAGTCTACTTATTTTTAAGAATGAATGGAGTACGGTTTACTAACTCGCTTTGCAAATAAAGAAAAAGACAGTGTAATTTTTTTTACATTTTGTGTGAGAGCTTATGTGACATCCATTAGAAATTTAAATGTTAAATGCTACAGATGAAAACTTTAAAGTTCAGAAATCCCAATGAGAGAGCATTTTGGGAGGCCACTGGTAAAATTTTAGTCAGAAAGAAAGTTTAGTCAAAAAGGAAACAAGAGTTTAAAATGCTGTACTTTCTTATTTGCACTTTATTTTTAACCACACTTCATGCTTTTATTTCATTCTACATTTTAATCAAGAGGCCTATAATAATATACTTGTTCATTTCTTTCATACCAATACATGACTAATCTATGATTTTCAGTGTTAGTCTTTTGAAATTGTGAACCAAATTTGGGGTCCTCAGAGAATTTGGAGTTAAGGAAAAAAAATGATCTATCTCTGAAAACTAATTGGTTAAGTAACTAGTAACATTTTATGGCTGTGTTTTATTATTGCTTAGGAAAAAGATCATGAGATCATGAATAATTCACATTACAGGATATCTATCATCAATATAATATTTTTGACTATTACAGTAACTGCCTAAAAGCATGAACTATTTGTATAATTTTTCAAATTAAAATGAGGCAGTTACTTTGTGTTCTATATAAGAGCGTGCATGTTAAAACGCCACAGGTGGGCATTGTTGCTATATTGTTTTTTAGACACACTGCTAATTTTTAAATGAAGTGGTAAATCTAAAAATTTTTGGTACACGTTTTGATAATTATA